AGTGTAAGGTCATTAAAACAGGAGTGATTTGCTCTCTTTTCTTAGTTTTTGTTAAAAGTCTCACAGCTACACAAATTGGAGACGAAGATTCATTTCTGTTTTAAACTTATTAAAGAACCATTACAGTGAACATGAAGAGATAGAAGGATTGCAGACTATTTTGCCCTCTTTCTTTTTCTCAGACTGATAACTCTTCATGTTGCCTCTTAAACTTTCACTGACACACTTTAGTTTTCACAAGAGTAATGCCTGCAACACTTCTAAAGGGGATGCTGTCAGATGGGGCCCCCTTAGGGAGGTATCCAGTTGTCATTTCATCTTTGAACATTTTAAACCACTGCTGTCAGTTTTCCAGCCCTCAGGGGCCCCCTACTGGCCTGGAGCCCACATTGAAAAGCAGCACCTCTGTATGATATCATGATCATTATAAGGCTGATGTTAGAGATTAAATCTGCAGTGTATGTCAGGGAAGGTTAAAAAAGTACTCTAACTACACTTTGAAAGTATCTCAAACTGCTCTCAAAGCTCAGTTATGTAGAAGAAGGATCATTGACAAGGGGAGCTCGGAGTAAAGCGCTTCACATGGAAAGGAGCCAGAGAGGGATATTCAGGTATCTGATAAGGATCGTCCTGGTCACCTCCCGTTGAAGGTTTTCAGGGCACTCACACCTGGAAGGAGAGCCAGAGTTGACTGAAGGAACACCTCAGGAGGAGCTGGAGGACTTTGCTGGGGAGAGGAATGTCTGGGTTAAATGACTTCACCTGCTGCCACCCTGACCTGACCTCAGATATGGATGGATGGATGAAAGGATGGATTCTTCCTGAGAGTTTCTTATTATACTCACATCACAGCAGCATTCAGTTGTGTTTCATTAGAGGTTTTTGAATGTGTTCATGAGTTTAGAGAATCAGCTGATCTTAAAGAGAAGAAAAATAAAGAATGTCAAATGTAGTGTATTTCTGTAATTGGAATTAAATTGTGAAATTCTTTAACTAATGATCTGAAGGGCTGTGTTCAGATATTTCAGTTTAAGAAAATGTATAAGAACAAAGTTATCAGACTGTATGAAATTGGCTTGTTAGTGTGTTTTGTGTGTGTTTTCCTTCTTATTTCTGAGGAAGTGAAGACTGAATTGTCAGATTTGTTAATGTTGATATTTATTCATTGATTGTAATTGGACAGACCATCCAGACATTTCTTGTTTGCTTTTTGAGTAAGGGGGCAAGCAAAACAAGCTGTATTCCTCTCCCTGCTCCTTTCCGTACATGGGATATAGTGTGAATCGTTTTTTCTTTTTTTTTCTGTTGTGTGTTTTGACATGTACAGAACAAAGGGAAAAAAAATGAAATGAAATGAAATGAAATGTAAACATAAGAAACAAAGCTGTTTCTAAAGTCATTTAACTTGATATGAATTACTCATTAAATTAAACACTGACTATAATGTTGTTCAAATGTTCTTTTAATAATTGTTTACAAAGAATATTTCAGCTCCATGGTCACCTCAGTCCACAGGGGGTCAGTCTTCAGAGTGAACACACTCAGCTTTGTAAGACTTCAATAGAATAACATGGTCCACCTGTTTGAAGGGGACACATGATACATGTAGTTAAGTTATGTCCCCTGTGTCTCCTCATTATCTCCTTCACTCACATCTCAGGTGGAAGGAAACATGGAAAGGAATGAAGGAAGCAAAATGAGAAGAGACTGAGAAGATTCACTTGTTTAATAAAGATCAAAAGAAGAACAGACATTTTTATTCACAAAATGCAGCTATCCATCAAAGTGTAATATTTCAGAATCCCATCAGGTGTCCTTCTCCTTCCAGTCTGAGTCCCTGCTCTGCTCCCCACCTGTAACACCTGCAGCAGGTACAGGTAACAGAGGGAATCCACCATACCTGCTGGCCCCACCCCCCCACGCTGGGTTAGACGGGACGGCCTGCTGCTGAGTCGAGAGCCTCTTCCTGCGCTCTCTGCTCCGCTTACACAGCAGGTAGATCATCTCCACCACGTTCAGCAGCACCGACACGCCCGACACCGCCAGCATGAAGATGATGAAGATCGTCTTCTCCGTGGGACGGGAGACGTAACACTGTGCCCCGGAGAAGCGTGGACATGGCGGAGACAGGGTGCAGTGGAATAAGGAGACCATGAAGACGGGGCCAAAGATGTAGAACTGAGCCACGGTGAAGCCCACCTCCAGCAGCACCTTGAAGATCAGCTGGGTCATGTAGGTGCAGAAGAGGACGCCTTTAATCTTCACCTTCCCCCTGTCATCTGTGTACCTCGTCTTCATCAGCACACCTCCACCTAACCCAGAATCAAATCATTCACCTTCAGGACACCACAACAACTCATCATGAAAACCATGCAGAGCTTTTCTTACTTCTGTCAGACTGCCCTCAAAATCTCTGAGGACTATTCAGCTGCTCTAAAACACCACACCACACCAAGATAAGATGATCCTTTATTGATCTCCAGTGGGGAAATTCAAGTATTACATTTGTGCTCTTCAGACAGTGCTCCCTATCCCTTTAGTCTAAAACAGAGCTACATTTAAAAAGCTGTGTGTACGAGTGTTTGTACAGGTGATTGATTGAGTAACCTGAGGTGTTCCTCTGCTGCTTCTCCAACATCCTCTTCTCTCTGTGGATGACGTGCACGGCATGGCCCAGGTACACCAGAGTGGGCGTGGACACGAAGGTGATCTGCAGCACCCAGTAGTGGACGTAGGAGACGGGGAACATCCAGTTGTAGCATGCGTGGCTGCAGCCAGGTTCTTGGCTGTCACAGTAGAACTCGGACACCTCGTCCCCCCACACTTTGTCTGCAGCTGCTCCCAGGACAAAGATCCGGAAGAGGAAGAGGACGCTCATCCAGATTTTGCCCACCACCGTGGAGTGAGTCTGCACCTTGTCGAGCAAGGTGGACAGGTAGGACCAGTCCCCCATGGCTGCAAACCAGCATCTAAGGGTCAGAAACCCGATACTGTTATTAACCCTTTCAAGCCTTAATCAATAAATAACAGAGCAGGATTCTGATAACATGCAACCTGTCATTTGTTTTTTAATATTCATAATTTTCAGGAAGGAACAGAAGTGTGGACATCATCGCTTGATTTCATCATTCTGAAAAGTCAGAAAAAAGTCAGAACCCAACACTTTCTTTTTTCAGTGGCCCTTATCCTCTTCCGTATCGGAGAGAATCATTCTGAGGTCTTGAAATTCTTAGAAATGTAATCTCAGGCTCTTTGACTTTTCCATAGAAACACACTGAATGATATCAACTATTGTTGTAGCTGAGTCTTTTAAAGTGAAAGTTACAGTTACAGGTGTCCCTGAATAAAGATTTATGCTACATAGTCCATTCTGATTGGTCAGACTTTGTTGTTTTTGCTCTCCTTGATCCACATTCTCATTTACAACTTAAGAGTTTAACCTCCTCATGTGATTTGGAATAACAATTCTTCAATGATCGGACTTGATTCTTTATCTCATTAGGTCTGCATTAAAGTGACCTTATCACAGGTTTAACAATATCAGTCGATTACTCCACATCAAATATTTTCTAAAACAGCCAAGTGTCAGTATTAATGTTAATTATAGTTTAAATAAAGTCAGACAGGTGAGTCATCGTTTTCTCTAAACCTAAAATCAATAGTTGGTCATTTGAACGATAACATTGCTCCTTACTAGCTGATCTTATCCATTTGTGACCCTGAATTACTGTAGCTGGCCAGTGGGGGGCAATGTTCCAGGTCATTTACTGATGTTCAATGAAGTGGCTGTGAACCTGTTCCATCTAAAGTCATGCAGAGCGGTTTGTCAGTATCTATAAATTGGAGATAAAGATGTATGTAGGCAGTGTCAGGTTAAAGTGGGATATGGACAGGAGCGGTGTGTGTGTGTCCACATTCAGCTCTGACCTGCTCGTTAACCTGCAAGGAGGACTGAAGACTGACAGTGCTAGCAATGCTAACGTCACACTGAGCTAACTATTTTGACATTGTTTCCCTGCAGACGCTGTGATCCCGTGTGGAGCTGACTTACATATTATTCTATTGTGGATTAGTCTGAATTTAATTTAATTAATTAATCTGTGTTTAATCAACTTTGAAATGAGTTCACTCAGAACATCTCCACCATTTCAAAAAACCTCCCTAAATGTGTTCTAACTCGCGTGTCCATGTGGTCAGATCTGTGTGTTTCTGAATGTAGTGTGTTCATGATGTAACAGCTGTTTTCTGTCACGTTGTCAGCGGTCTGAGGCCTCGTCCACACGTAGGCGCGTAATTCTTGAGAACGTAGCTTTTTCTGTGCGTCGCGACCTTTCGTACACCAATGACATTTCAGGTCTCTGTAAACTCTCCGTTAGTAAAACTCCTTTCAGGGTGAAGATGTTCAGAAACTCTGTTTAAGGTGTTTCTGTGTAGACGGAGAAAACAGAGCATCATGCTGAGCGCCGGTTTCTCCTCCATGTGACGTCATCGTGCGACACCGTCTCTTTAGTTTACATGAGATTAGAGCGATGGCAGACGTAACCAAACTAGCGCTGGTGCTAACGTTGCTAACTTGACTTTTCACATGCTCACACACACACAGTTACTCTCCCACTATGTGGACGAGCAGTTCTGTGTTCACGAGTGAATTTCAGTTTTTAAACGACATCTCGACTCATTTTCTCAACAACCCTAGTGTCCAGTGAGAATGAGTCAGAAAATGTATTCACTTGTTATCACAGAGATCAAAAAAAAGTATGGATACATGTCCACTTAAAGAATAACGACTGATTTTAATCTCCACTCCAGTCCAAAAGACTTCTTAGTTTGATAATAAGAGTCGACTTTACAGAAACGGTCACGTCCGCTTACACAACAACAAAAAAGACTCACCTGTCAGGATTCACTCCGTGTTTGAGCCGCTCACAGCAGATCCAGAGTCCAGGAAGAGCCTTAAATACAGTCTCACACACACACACACACACACACACACACACACACACACACACACACACACACACACACACATCCACTCCTCAGCTTCTCCTTTCACACACTCACACTCGTGATGATTCTGATGACTCTGGTGAAAATGTTTCGTCACACTTAGTTCCTGTAAAGAAACTCCACCTCACATTTTTCCATCACACTGTCAATCATGTTTACCTCCCACTTTGACGGACAGACATGTCACACACTCCTCATGTACGCTGAGTGTGTGACACACCCTGTCTGAGAAATTAGTGTGTGTGTGTGTGTGTGTGTGTGTGTGTGTGTGTGTGTGTGTGTGTGTGTGTGTGTGTGTGTGTGTGTGTGTGTGTCGTGTGTGTGAGTTTTAAAGGGAAGATTTCTCCCACAGAGAACAGATGTGTCAGTGAGACGAGTCAGACTGAGGACATTAGATCGGACTCAGACAAACAAATACAATCTTTAAATATATATTTTAAGTTATTATTATGGGCTGCAGGACGGTGCAGTGTGAGATCTTTCGTTGGGTAGGTAATAAATACTCCAGCATGGAGCCCCATAGGGCAGTGTTTGTAACCCTACATTTTTCAATAAAATTATTCATGATATTTTTGAACAGGTGGAACTTGGTATATCTACTGTAAGAAGCTATACGCTTATGATGGGGTTCTCTGGGTCAGAGGTCAGAATAAAGATTACATACTAAAGAAAACGCAGAAAGCAATGGGTGAACAAACAGGCTTTTAAATGATCCATGACAAGATCTCAGCATGAATGACTTTCTCTAAAGTTATACAGTAAAGCACTAGAACTGACTCTTCGTCCAGACGTGTTGTTCTGTTTCTTTTATTGTTCCTTTTTCATTCCCTCTTTCATTTTCTTACTCACTCTTGTCTCTGTCTTCCAGATCCTGTTTCTCATGTTTCCCGCCTTGTGTGTACTCACCTGTGTCTCGTTACCCCCTGGTGGTCTGTGCTTTCTGTGTGTCTTCCCTCTTGTTACCAGTGTCTAGTGTTTTCCTAAGTGTTTCTACGTTCCAGTGTTATTCTGTATTACCTTCTAGTGTATGCCTTTGCCTGCTTTTGACGGGCCTTTTGCTTTTGCCGCTCGGATTTGTTTGCCTATGCTTTTTGGACTTTGCAGTCCTTTGCAGCAGGATTACACAGAACACAACATCACCAAGGTTGACGTCAGGGTCGGACTGGCCATCTGTGTGTTCTGGAGAATCGCAGAACGGCCAGTACTCCAGGGCGGCTGGCGGCCGCCACGCAGTCATTACCAGTTTTTTTTTTTTTCTCCTGCTAATCTACTGTTTCACACTCCAGTCCGGTAGGACTAAGAAGAAGAAGAAGAAGAAGAAGAAGAAGAAGAAGTAGCAGCGAAGACGAACTTTGGTAGTAGTAGTGAAGCACAAAAATATGGATAGAAAACTCAAAGAAAAGGGTCTGAGAAGGCGAGGGAAAGAAAAATGCGACATTTAGAAAGTGAAGCCGCTAAATGTCACAAGCTCACTGAAATGTTCGGCAGCACAGCCGGCAGCAGCAGTAGCACAGCCGGCAGTGGCAGCAGCAGAACAACCGGCAGCAGCACAACCGGCAGCAGCACTACGGCACAAGTTTATGTTAGCAGCAGCATCCAAGAAGTTAGCAGCATGAGTGAAGAAGGTAGTGTTGAGGCGAGCCAGACAGTTGTGCATGGTAGGGCCACCTGTGATGATGAGGGACAGAGAGATAAGCTGGTGGAAGTTCCACAGACAGAGACAGGGCAAGTAAGTATGGAACATGACATGAGAGAGGGAGAAAGAGAGTTACTTGCTGGCTGATGTTAGCAAATGTTATTCAGGTGTTGCTACATTTTTATCTATACCCAGTTTGTGTTGCTCAGTACAATGCAAAAAATTAAATGAAATAAAATAAAGTGAAATAATGATTATAGTAATTAAAACAGCTCCACTTTAAACATTTTAGGTGCAAAATGCAGATGCAGTAATATTAAGAAATAGGCTATATACTGTATATATAAAAACTGTTGCGCTTTTACTTTTTAAAGTTTTGGTAACGTTACAGTTTTCTGATAATACTTACAAACTTTGAAGACTTTGAATACAGAATTTACATTTGTAGTGGTGTATTTTCATTATTATTTGTGCAGTAAGTTAATTACTGCATAATTTAATTAAGATTATTGAGTAATAAAGTAATCATAAGATTGCATGGAATAGATGATGTTATAATCAACATCAGTGCTATTGCTGTAATTTGGATGGTTTAGTGTCATGAGTCATGATTAAAGTATTGTGACACCCGTGCCAGGCGTTGATGACTTTCCGCGTACCGATTGTTGTGGGCCGGCCGAGTCAAAGTCCAGGGCTGTTTTGTAGTCCCAGTCCGTCCCTGGTTGACGTCAACAGTAAAATCAGGGTTCTATTAAGGTTTGAATAAAAACAGATCTTCTTCCCTCTAATCTGAAGCATGCTCACACTACGAGACATGACAATCATGGAACATCACACACTACAGGATGTTATTAAGATTATCATGCCCAGAGGAGGAACACACCACCTCACATGACCTCAAGTAAACATTGAGGTTTGAGACTAATTTAAACTGGTTGAAGAGGATATGTGACATTTAATTGATGTTAAGTATAAGGATTTAGTTTCTCTCTACCTGTGGAGGGCAGTAATATGCTAAGACACGTACAAACTGCCGGAATATCGAAAAGAACAACAAGGCACCTGTTTGAAAATGATGAAAGGGGAAGCTTGTCACATGCTCAAGCTTCTTCTGAATGACTTTTCAACAGTCGAAGTTCTGGTGAGAGAAGATGGCCAGCAGATAAAACAGCAGTACATCAACAAGCTCCACAGGCTTCAGGAGGAGGAGGAGGGTTTGCACCTTGGAAGACTGTATTCACTCTCCATGTAGATACATGGAGAGTAAATAAGATCAATAACTTGTGAATAAAAACACAGTTAAAAATGATTTAGAAATGTAGTCTTCCCAGATTAATATCACATAATATCAACTTCTCCCATCTAAACTGGACAAAGGGTTTTAAAATGGGAAGAAAATAGTTTGATTGCAAGTTGTTTGGAGGAGATCTAGTTTTATTTGAACAGCATGAATACAGTCTTCCAAGGTGCAAACCCTCCTCCTCCTCCTGAAGCATGTCGAGCTCGTTGATGTACTGCCGTCTTATCTGCTGGCCATCTTCTCTCACCAGAACTTCAACTGTTGAAAAGTCATTCAGAAGAAGCTCGAGCATGTGACATGGATCCAGGAGAACATGGACTTTTAGTGAGGGGTCTTCATGATGGCAAAGAAAGAGAAAATATCAGTTATTCATTAAATCATTTTTTTGTTCTCATCTATTTTTCTGTATTCATCTGTGTGTAAGAGCACATTTATAAATTCAACAGTGTACTACCCAGACAACAAAGGTACAGTATTCAGGTAATCAACATCTATTTAAAGTTAAGAAGATAAACCTTGTTGTAATCATGCTATTTTCAGCTCTCTCACTCACTTGCACAATGATATTCCACATCAAATGGTCTCAGATTTTGTTTGAGGAAAAATTAAGCAGTTTATTGTGGATAGTACTTCATCTTAACATGAAACAAATATTACCTGAAATATTTAAATCATTAACAGGTCCCAACTCTGTGCTTTAGTACAGAACATACAGTAACTCATTTATTATTAACATGAGCTCAGTACATGGCTGTATTCTTCAAACTATTTCGTATACTTTATATCTTATTTTCATTCCATATGTTATTTATATATTTTATATTTCTACTGCTATATTCTGTGTAAGAGCATCTGTAACGATTAAGAACTATATTAATAACCATATTAAATTTCCCTTAACTCAGTGATTTTTTTTTAAATTTGTTAACAGTTTGCACAAATCTTAAGACACTACATCAACCATGTAACGTTAATGTCATCCTCTATAACCTAAACAGCATATTAGGTTCAGTTGAGTTCAGTTTATGTTACTGACGGATAATTACTACACAAAGTTTGTTTTTTAATGTCAACATTTACATATCGTGGAGCATTACATTCATCATAACGTCAGATAACCATATTTACAGTCTGTGGTTAACCACCGAGGTGAACCTTTAGCTTCTAACATCACACAAACTCACTATTTTCAACAACAAACATTTCTAAACCATTGACCATAAATAATGGGCTAGACTGAGTACAGTTAGACAGCTGGTTTACAAGCTAACGCTAAACAAGCTATGTCCGTAAATATACCGACACGAGTATGCAGTAAATATAACACTACTATATCACTTACCGAAAAAAACTGAAGCATCAACTTCTTGGATGGTCTGTTAACCGCACAGCAAGCCATGTATGTTGTCTCCAAATGAAGTAAAAAAGAGGAGAAATCAGACGGATCAAGCTGCTAGCCTCCTGACCTGCTGACATGACAGACAGATGCAGGGTGCAGAGCTGTCAATCAAATCTGCCACATCCCTTATATGGGCATAGTCGTTTTCCTTAATAGAATAAAATCCAATGAGTTATAAAAAAAATGGTGAGAGCTTTTCAAAGATTTCACAGGGGTGCACAAGACTTCAAAGTTTGACAGTACGCTGAGGCGACGCCCTTTTATGTAGAATCGTGCAGAGCACAACGGGACATTTATAACATGTCTAGAATACACTGACACTGAGTTGGAGATGATCAGATGAAGTACGTTCAAATAGGAAGCCTGAAATTGCTAAATTGGGCCATTATTCAACAGCAAACTTCCTGTTGGGTCTTGACAATGGATGCCATAGCATTTTATGAAAGTCCTGACAAGGGTAATATGCAGAAAAAATTTCATGAATGTCGGGGAAATAACCTCTTGGGTGGGCCTTTTAAAAAAATATCATGGGGGTTGCACCGAGACATCAAATTTTGACAGTACACCGCAAACACGCCCTTTTGTGTAGAATCATCTAGATCGAAACTTGAGTTCTTCAACATCTCTAGAATACACTGACCTACTTTGGCACTGATCG